GCTGAAATTTTATGCTGGAGTAATTTTATTATAGTACTTGACAAAAGTCTTGATGAACTCATGGTTAGGGATAAAGTGAGTATGAAAAAAGCTAAAGGTCAAGTTTATGATTTTATTATTGCACAAAATCCTGGCATTAGGCGCGAATCACTATATAAGAAAATTGAAAGAGCTAGAAAAATTTACAGGTTATTCGAAAAAATAGGTTTAGATAAAGTAAAATATATTAAGTTATATAGCGCGAATGCTATTTCGAAATTTACCAATGAACAAATTCAAACAATTATTAATCATTTTACTAAAAATCCTACCAAAGAATTAATCGTTAACCAGGACAATTCTTCAGATGACTTGCCCAAAACTGATGTAGGTGAGAAAACTTTACCGAAAATTGAGGTAAGTACACTAACCATATCTTAGCCCAAGCTTCAAATTTCAGCAGAATTAGCACAGTCAAAAGCCTCCTATGCCTCTCCAAAACTCTTCCCATTCAAGAGAAAGCTGTCAAAAGAAACGTGTAATCAAGTCATTAATAAATTAACCACACATTTTATTGATTCACCAAAGTTGGATAAAAATAATAGCATAGATACAGAAGGTGAGCATCAAACTGATTCTTATTGGGTTTTAGGTTCACATTGTCCACTATGTAGAGAAAATCATATGAGTTTAGATGGTAAGTGGTGGCTAGATAGTCGAAGTAAAAATACATATTATTTACATTGCACTAATTTAAAAGAGCCAGGAATTCCATACGATGATGTACTAAAAGCATATTCTGGTAATTCGGAACTGATTCAAGAGTTAAAAACTCAATGCTTCACATCACCTATCCCTTGGAATCATGTCCTTATTTTACCAGATAAAGGTATAGTAGCAGAAGCATAGTCACTGTATGACCTTGTCTATGACAAGAAATCATGATTAAATGATAATATATATATTATTATTATGTATTTATCATATCAATGAAGAGTTAGATCGTCAGTCCACATCGCTAAGATTCTAACGCGTCTCAACCGCGACTCAACTGAGGTATGACTTTTTTTCATATAATTATATAAGAAAAATTCAACCGCGACTCAACTACAACTCAACTGAAGCATTTTGGACTGAGCGATCTTAAATGAAAATAATAATCATTATAGCACATCAAATATATAAGTGGTATGATTAGTATGAACCAAGGGCCGATCGATCTACTGGTAATCATTCACGATTTACAAATAAGTAGCTAAGCTTAATTTAATCAAAATTCGAAATTACACTTTTGGGAGTTATTTCGCATTTATATGGAAAGACTAATTTATACGAATGGCCAGGTGGTGTGAATTGGTGAGGAGATAAAGTCAGTTAGAAGCATGACATGCTATGAATAGTCTTTATTTCATAAAAATCGCATTAAAATAAAAAATGGCAAGGGCACGAAACCCCTCTCTTTATTTCATAAAAATTATTGCCGGAACGACAATATACAAATAAAAAAAAAATAATCGCTATTATAGGTGCGAATACAAATAAAAAAAAATTACAATTTAATAAAAATATAAATTAAAAAAAAATTAATTTTTTGGAGAGTCTACGTAAATATGAAGGCTATTTTCATCAGGGCTATCAGCGAAGTCTTTAGAAATTCTAACCATTGGTTTATAAATCGGACCATTAGTGGATAAACGAAGGGTGATTTGAGTAGAAGGAATGGAGTCAAATAAAGGTGCTAAGCGTTTTTTTACCATATGTTTGAGCAATTCATACTTTTTGTCATTAGAAATCTCAATTGTAAAAGTTTCATTTTCACTGCTACCACTGACGAGACAGTTAAGATTAATAATTGTCATTTTGGGGGACTCTGCAAGAAATATATAAAGAACCCATAGTAAGTAGAAATTAACTTTAGGAATAAAAAATCTCGTATAAACAATATATGATAACCAAACCTTGGAAGTAAATTGCGAATATGAAAAATTTTTCAGAGAAGCCGACACGGCAAAAAATATATATGAGAGAAATGTTATTGCTAACTTACCTTATAGGCAAATCGCTTATTTTTATACTTCACATTCGTTAGATCTAAAAAACCTGCCAGAAAAAAAAGTTACATGATTAGTAATTGTGTTACTCTAACACTGCCAAAACATACTTAACAAAGCAACTCCGTTTTGGTTGTAAGGCCCAAATACTGAATATATTTTGCCGTTTTTTAGTAAAATTAAAGCCCCTTTAGATTCAACGATCGGTACTACAAAGTAAAAAAGTCAACGATCTTGATGATCTGGGAATTCCAAGTCCCCCAATATGAATTTGGATAAAACTGCTGATAAAGAACGTTATACTCATTCCCCTTATGGTATTTTTTGTTCTTATTCGTGCTTTTCTTATCGCGAGATCATATATGGTAAGGGAAAAGTTATATAACTTATTCGAAGTAATATTCGTTATAGCGTGGGAAAATAATTATGCAGTAAAGTATCACAAAGCACATGCCCGATTTTGTGTGACTTGTATTACTGGAATGTTAACATTAAATTCATATATGTGATCACGTGAGTGATAAGAATCACGACTTTATACCTTGTATCAACTCCGCATAGTAAATTTTGGCTAAGCCACTGTTGAAGTGCTGTTGGCTTTTTGTTAATAAACACATATAAAATTGTCTAAGCCACTGTTGAAGTGCTGTTGAAGTACGTGTTTGTGCATCTATCTATTCTACCATTTTCAACCCAAGTTCAACCCGTGTTCAACCCTAGTTCAACTCATATTTATATTTTATTATATATTCATTATGAGAATGAATATTCAAACTTCAACCAGAGTTCATATCATTTTCTATTTCGTGTCGCTCAAAAAAATCATTATAACCAAACTCGAATTGGTATTACGTCCGAAATTTTGTATAATTAACCGACTTCATATGCCTCGGATTTGTATATCTTGGATTTGTTTATCTCGACCGGGATGATCTCAAATGGTGGGTGTCGTATATTCCTATTGCCGGAAAATTAAATCATATGCTTGTAATACCCGAAATAGATCTTTCAAACTTATTTTATCTAAAGCAGTAAAGTCATTGCAAACCAGTCCCACAAACCATGATTACTGCATGTTTATTGTAAACCCAGCATAATTTTATACTACTTATCCAAATTTGTAGATCTGGGCCGGCTTAATATAGCATGTAAAATTATCATCATACCCCACCTACTCAACAAGTTATTAATGATCTAATCCCAATATAGAAAACGTGCGATTGTTGATTGATTTGTCGTGTGCAATAATTGTTTGTTAGTAATTATTCGACAGTGTCTTGTGGCCTGGATGTACAAATATTTATGGCTTATCGTTATCAGGTAATCTGCCCCTTAAAAACAAATATACCATTATCTAAAAAAAGGATAATCGAGGCTATTAATACGCTACGTGTATAAAGCTCAAATAAATGTATATAAAATTTTTTTTTCGCTTTCTGTCTGAAATTTTTTACTAATATTCTAACTTCTTACACTAGATTGTTTTGTGTTGATAAGACAATTGCCGGAGCTATTTGTATGGGTATGCTTAGTCAAGCAAAAAATTTTGTCTTTAAAATTGAGCGATAGGGCCTCTAACTATGCAATGTTGTGAGACTCAACGGGCTCATAATTACCTTAGGTAGCCCAGTACTTAGGTAAAGGTGATTATCTGGTCCGCAAAAAATACACGATCTATCCTTTATAGAATAGTCTTCTCAGGTATAGTTATAGCCTTTCGAGGCAGGCCTAGGGTCTGACTATTCCTCTCTAAAATTTATTTCATATAAAAATAATTATAGGGGGCGTGATTGTCAAATTATTATTGTCTGTAGTAAGGAGAGGAAGACCCAATGAGCTTTCCGCGGTATAGTCCACTGAACTACAAGATAAGAAATAGTTTGAATGTATCCACCTCGAAACTTAAATAAACACATAACATTTTCCTTTATCTTGGGCATGATTGTCATCCTCGATGTGGGCGTGTATTAGGGGAAGGTGATGCAGACTTCCTAAACAACTGAACCACACCACAGAGAGTGATTGAATATATCCACCAGAAAAAATTATAAACAAAATTTAAGAGACTTGTCTCATTGCTCTGCAATACCTTATCATACTGTCATCGATTAGTAAAATTATATTCGACCTGAACCGGGTATGTATTGCATTTCAAATTTGTTAATTTATGTTGAATCGCTTTTGTGTTGATAGAACGATCACCAGGTTACTTGTTTACGGATAGGTATGCATAGTTATGCAAAAAATTTCGCTTGAGTTTTTACCTCTTGACGATAGGGCCTCTGACTTTGTATGTTGTGTATTCGAAAGGGCATAATTACCATTGCTGGTGGCTCAGTACTTTGGCTTGGGTAGTTTGTTTAGTCCGCAAAAATATATAGAAGAACTTACTGGTTGGTTCACAAAAGCACATTCTAATACTCTATTTTTTCATACTTGTTTTTACTCAACTATGACAACTGGCGCGAATAGTAGACCTTCAAATCTTTTTTCAATATGGGCCAGAATCTTTCTTGATATGTTTGTTGGAGGCGCTTCTATCAAGACCTTTTAGTGAGAACCCTATATATTGAGATAGTTTGTTGCGTAATTTAGCCATTTCATATATTATTGAACCTTTAATATGAGTTATTTTGAATGCACAAAAAATGAATCGCAATTTAAGAATGAATAAAGAACCAAATCTAATAGGTCTATAAATAGGTCAATAAGTCATTGAATTTATTATGTTCACCGAATATGGCAGGTTTTGATATTGCAACTATTCTTGATAAAAAAGATAGAACACTACCCAAACCTATTAATAATTGTCCTGGTTTTGATATGAGGTATGTCGTGTCATATATTGGAAATTATTTTGCTTTTGATGGAAAACAATACAACGAACTCTTCGATAATGAGAGATTATTTGATACTTTATCTATCATAAAACAAAATGAAACACCGGTTCAATGGGCAATACGGGTTAGAGTACCTTTACAGAATTTATTAAATGCTGAAAAATTTAGTGTTTATCATCGATATTGTTTATTTATGTCATATGGTAAAGGTAAATTTGTTAATTTCGATTATTACAGACCAAGGATTCATAAAAGTCATATGGCTATTTGTTTTGGTTGCTGGAAACTTATAAAAATTGATGACGTACAACCTAAAAAATCATTCCATTTTACTAGACGAAGATATGTTGATTGTCTCATACCTAGTGATTTGATGACTAGTCATTGGGATAATGATTGTGATAAACCAAAGACCGATTTCGGAAAAGCAAAAATTATACAAACTGCTTATCAAAATTATAAGAAAAAGCCTGAATCAGAATTCAATAGAATCTGGAAAGCAGTCAGAAATGACGATACTTCTGAGAACAAGAAGTTTTTAGGTATAACTCCTCGAAAAATAAGACTTCCTGAAACTTCTTATATTGGATATGGTGGGAGAACGATTCTAGCTAAAGATGTACCAGCATATGCTCGAAATTTACCTGAAATGTTTTATCGTTATAGTTCTAAAAGTTGGGCAGATGCTAAGAAATATCAATTACAAAAAAGATTATATAACCACGTTTTAAATTTATTAGGACAACAAGGATACAGAGTAATCAATAGTAAGCAATGATATGTAATGTTAAAGTGGATACAAAATCCTGAATTATATATTAATAATAAATATCCACCATTTATTAGAAACGAATAAATTATTATAAACAGTTCATGGAGAAATGCATCAAATTATCAATCTATAGCTTCGCAATACAAATATCTATATATTCATATATATCTATTGAAAATAAATTTTATTTCGTTATTTTTTCTAAAGAAAAGCTAGTAACATTTTTTACTTTGATTTTTATATACA